ATTTTGGAGAACTGGTACTTTCAGAATCAAGAAAGGCATACGGTTATGATTATTTTGATGTATTTCCAAATGGATCAGCAAGAATTTGCATTACAGACTTTGAAACGAGAGAGAAGTTAATGGTCAAAGAAGAGAAAAATGATATTTTACTTTCCAGAATAATTTTTATATTGAACGTTATTTCTATCATATTTCTAATATTAACATTTTTTGTATATGTTTTTGTTAAAGAACTTCAAACGTTGCCAGGAAGAAACAACATGTTTTTAGTCATACAGTGCAGGGAACTAATTTTGTTACATAAACCAGCATCAGCATAAGCATAAGTAGCATCAGGATCGAGCTAGCATCAGCATCAGCATTTAAATAACAGCATTACCAGGATCAGCATCAGCAAGCAAAGGATAAAACCAGCATTGACCTACATAAAATCAGCATTATCCTACTAGCATCAGAAAATCAAAGAGTTTTAATTCAGTAAAAAATTAAAAAAAAAAAAAAAAAGAAAGAATATTGGTTAAAGTATTCACATTATTAATACATAGTGAGATATTATGATCAAATAATTGTAAAAAGCACTTTTATTGCTTTAAACGGCAATGCTGAAATTCATTATCTACTTCCGGTAGCATGATGCTACTTCCGGTAGCATTGACCTAATTATAAAACAGCATCAGGATAAGGATTACTAGCATTAAATCAGCAAGCAAAGGAAGCATTCAAATCAGCAAGCAAAGGAAGCATTCAAATCAGCATCGATGCTGTAACAAAATTAGTTTCCTGCACTGTATCGCTTGCGTTATCCCTTGCAATATTTCAGTTGAGTGATATTGGAATCCTACACACAGCGTTCTGTACAGGAATAGGAGTAACTTTGCATTATGTTTGGTTGGTGGCTTTTTCATCAATGACCGCTTGTTGTTTTCACATGTTCAAAATGTTCCATTCCACAGGGTTGATTTTAGAAGATAAACATAGAACATTTAGAATATATATAACATTAATCATAATATTCCCTGCTTTTGTAGTTACTGTGAACATTATTGTTTTGTTCTCGGTTTATAATAATGGATATATCGGTTATGGGTTACAAAAATGTTTTATTGACCATCTGATTTCACGTTTGTTATCATTTATTCTGCCAGTGAGTATTATGTGTGTCACAAATACAATATTTTTCATTGGTACCATTATTTTAATCAAGAACGTTCCAAATGTCCCTGGGAACAAAGCAATGAGAAGTGAATTTTTGATTTTTTCCCGCCTGTTCACTATAACTGGAGTAACCTGGACTTTGCAAGTCATTGATGGCATTATTCCTTTTACAATCTTCACATTTATTTCATCGGTTATTAATAGCTTACAGGGTATTGTAATTTTTGTTGCTTTTATCTGTAACAAAAGAGTATATTCTCTTTTAAGAAAGAAATATAGACGAAAAGAACACTCCGTAGGTAGAATACAGGAAAATAAGGAATCTAATTCGGAAAAAAGTTTCGAGATTACCAAGTTGTTAACTCGAAGAACTCTATATTTTTTTTTTATTGAGCTGAGCTATGTATTTATTGTGATAGATCTTTCTGTTCATAACATATAATGTAACCTTTAATTTACTGCCTTATTATTTTATTTTTTATAAATATACATGAATTTTTTTTAAAGATAGTGCAAAAATGTTATAAATATAAAAAATATTTCTAAGATTTTTCAGCTGTTGTGTTTGTCATATGAAAGCTTGAGGTTTCACTGTTTTATTATGCTTTTTTACTTAGTTGTACTTGCTTTCGAAAAAGCGATGATTTGTTTCGTGATCAACCCGACTTTAATAAGATGAGGTCATTGCTTATGAAATACAAGATACCATTCTTTAATAAAACTAACCGTCACTAAAACTGAAACTCATTTTTTTTTTGTTTGAATTGAAAATTAAAGAGGGTGTGTTGTGCATGTTTGGTGTGCCATAACATTATTTGTCTTTCAATTATTAGAGAACCTGGCGGTGTTGAGACAAACGTCTGACAAACTGACCCCGATCATTTTTTTCCTCGAAGATCGAGGGGGAGGCTTAATGGTTTAGCTTACAAACTGAACCAAAGGTTAAATTAACCTTTCCTGATCACTTGTTGTCTGTCGTCTGTCTGTCCTTAACTTTTCACATTGTCGATAACTCCACAACCACTGAACCATTTTCAACCAAATCTACCACAAAGCATCCTTGGATAAAGAAAATTTAAGTTTTCTTTTCTACTGTAGGGCCAAGCCCTCCTAAAAGGAGAGAAAATCAAGAAAAGAAAAAAATATTTCAAAAGAACTACTTATCTAAAAAAATGAATCTTATGTAAAAACTTCCTGACATAGTTTAATTTTTGTAAGTTTGTTAACTTAAAACCCCTCCCCCTGCGTTAGGGTTTACCTACAATCGGAGCTTACAGTTTTTAGATAGGAAAATTTAGGGGGAAATCCTGAAAAATAATCTTCATATCAAAATGCAAGTATTCTTAAGAATTTGTTCAAATATATAGGCGAAAATCAATAAAAACCTCTTTCTCAAGAACAACTTATTTGTGAGTCTTATATTTGTATACAAGCATCCCTCAGGTAGTGCTTGTTCAAAGAAAAAGTAGATCGTGCATGGCCATGATAGGGAATCAGATATTTACTTTGGAATATTTAGCAAATTGCGTATACACAGAGATAGTTTTGGAAAAATCTTCTTTTCCAGCACAGCAAGGCAATATTGATACTGAATCACTCTCATTTTATTTGAGTTCCAATTCAATTTAAACTTTATGTACTCCTTTCCTCGGGGCTATTTATAATTATTGAGTCAATTTTTTCATGGGAATTATAGGGGGAAAATGTCTTATAAATTACTCAGCAAGACAAGAAGAGTCGGGTGAGCGTTATTGCAAATGGACCTCTTATTGTCTTATTTGTTCTATCTTTCTGGCTGCAAAACTAAAATTTTTGGTTCAACTATGAACTGTAGTAAACGTATCAAGTTTGTCACTCATAGTCAACTATGTAATAACTGTTCAAAAGTATTTTAATGAGAGACCCTCCATACTCAGTAAATTATAATACTTAAGGAATCCTTAGTAACTTTGACATGACTACACGGAGACTGCAGTACGTGAAAACTGTTGGTGGATGAAATAAGTTATTCACAGAAGTATAGCCAGCTAGCAGTGGCGTATTAACTGGCATGTGGATACATTAACAAAAGATACATTTATTATAGTGAAATATGAAGATAACGAACAGTATTCAATCTCGAAAGTCCAATGAAACGATACAAATACGGAGCAGAGCAAAGAGAGATAGGGAGAGATTTGAGTATATTTCAGTTACGTTCTTTCATCTTCAACTCGGTAAATCTCAGTGACTCGAAATAAGGCACCACAGAGTCTGCTACATTAGCTTCATGCTTAGATGTTTTACTTACTATAGATGATAATGCCAACTAACAACTAAACAATATGACAAACAGGATGGCTTCAGCTTTTCCATCGTCAACTTTCCCTATTTATGTAATATTTTATAGTCACCTGCATATGGTGTTTATATTGCCAAGCGAATTAGATACTCAGCAACATGTTCCGAGTATGATCAATTTGAATCAATTTTAAGTACGATAGACCAAGACAGGCTACAGACAAATACGTCGATGTTAAAGGGCTTTATCTACTAGTTCTCTACTTGCAAACTACTAGTTCGCTACAAAAGTAAGAATTTCACAGATTCCATGGTCGTTATAATGCCTTTGTTTGCAAACAAAATCTTTCATTGAGTTGTAGTATCCCACCAACTGTTAGGCTACTGTTTTTATCCATTTTGACAACGGATTACTCCGTCTACGTGATCAATACCTTATGTCGGGTGTGACAGATTGACAGGGGATACTTACTTCTCCTAGGCACCTGATCCCACATTTGGTGTTTCCAGAGTTCCATGTTTTTTGCCCTGTTCACGATATTTATTTTTTAACAGGATTTTTTCTGTTTAATCACTATTTGTTATCCTTACCCTATCACTGATATTGAAAAATGTTGAAAATTGAAACGTAAGAAACTTCCATATTGAAACTTCTTTAATCTGTTATCATGTTGTCTGATTAATTTGTTCTTTGATTTGTAGTGTATAAAACTTTCTTTTTTGACAAACATACATGCATTCTTTCAACGTCATTGTAGTACACATTTTTTTCATGGTATGTTAAAGAAAAAAAACAATAACAATGTTTGACTGTAGAATGTTTTTGTCAAAACTTCTTCTTAAGTATAACCTTTGAATGAGTCAAAAGATATCATGTGTTTCGAACTTTTATGACAAAATGCAATCCTCATGATTGCGAGAGAGATTTTAAGAAAAACCGTATTCTGATATTTTTGTGCCTATATTTCTCACCAATCATGCAACTTTTTGTTCATTCAAACTCTAATAAATAAACACTAACTTAAGTTTCAAATTCTGAGATTCTAAAATACACTTTCAAATTAAAAAATAAAAACCTTTACGCTTCTCTGTAAGTGTTGTGCTTTTCTTAGTATTATTTGAGTCCTTTTTGTGCAGATATTTAATAACTTATCACTGGGAATGTGAAAACTTCTAACGGCAGATACAATGAATATTTGGCTAATTAATCTCGGTCAAGATCAAATAAGTCAGCTAAGAAAGTTCTTCTGAAGAGGTACAATACATTTCATCCCGTGATACACGACGTTTTATTATCTCAGTTATGTGAGGCCAATCAGATGACACATTTGTATAGAATCCTTCTAATGGGGCACAACAGTTACATTCACAGGAGGTATCTGTGTTCCTCGGTTTGTCCATGATCTATAAACATAACTATCCAATCGGGAACGCACAACATACTCCAGGTAAACACACACACACACACACCCTCACACACACACACACACCCTCACACACACACACACATGAATACCTACTCGATCGAGATGGCAAGCAGAGGACACATTTATTTAGTATGTGTTTTGTACATTGATAGCATGCTATAATGGAATCAATTAATAGTATAATTATTTTTCAATAAATAAAAATCCGTCATTTATGAGCATGTTTACACGATATTGATCTTAAACGAACAAGTATATACTGATTTTCTTTTGCTCATTAATGAACGTACAAAAGAGAGCACCTGTTTGAAAAAAATATATGGAAAGAAATCAATTTTACCGATAGAAACTCTTTACTTTCATATAGTAATTCCCGTATACGCTTTGACGCCTGTCAGCAATCACTGCCTTCCACATGAGATCGATTTCTTTATCCCTAGCCGGCATCACTAGATATTTACATTCCCTCCTCAATTCTTTGTAACATTTTAGACCCTCCGGATGCATAAAGGTTAAGTTTCCTCCGAAATTCTCGTGAACCACATTCTTCACACGACTTGGAAGCAAGCCAAATAAATAGAAATCATCCACCCAAAAGAATGGTGCAGTGAACACCGCCTGATACAGAGCTGGAATCAGGTCTGTTGATATAAACACCACAAATCCACTGCAATATGTGTGTGGATACGTGTTTTGAGCTTTGTAAAATATGTCGCTCACAAACCACTTGCTCGAATTTTTTCGGATAATTGGCATTGAATTGGGATTGATTTTATTGCAGAAAATGGAACGTTTTCGTTCTTTCAAAAACGAAAAATCTTCAAAAAACTTGAAAAAATTAATAAATGAATCATCATCTATTTTTATCACAATTTCTGCATTCATGCAGTTTTCTGTAATCCACCTGTATCCCATCACACCCTTGTTGGTGAGGTTTCTGTAAGAGTCCACAAATTCACCTTGAATTATATCATTATAAAGAGAATTCTCTTTTTCCAACTTCTTCTGGATTGTTTTAATACTTGTTGTGCCAACTAAGAATATCACTCTCAAGTTTTCCGGACTATAGTGGGAGATATTAAGCCACGTCCTTCGCATCTCTTTCCTTCTCCAGAAGTTCCCAACAGAAGTATGCACCATCACCAGTGCTGAGATCTTATCATACTGTCGACACAGGTTTCTGTTATTAATGAGATAGGGTGCGTACATGCCGACTGGGTATTTGGTTTTAGTTTTTATGATTCTAATCCCTGTTTTGCTCTCCTGGTTTATATCGTACATGGGTTCTAGTAGAGTAAGCCTGTCCCCTGTTCCCTCATAATAAACATGAATATTTTCATTATCCATTGTTAAATACAATAAAGTAAACATCACTAAACACGACAGACTAACGAATTTCAAATAAGAAGAGTGTTTGCGCATATCTGTTTCTTTTGGTGTCTTTAGAATCTGAAAAACAAAAAGTAAATCTTACCACACCAACACATATATCATATATACATGTGTTATAACAAACCACATGTATTAAGTTAATCATCAACTCCAACATATCCAAGGCTTTTTAAAACTCAAAACTAAAATGAATATTGAATAGGATTGTTCCAAGAAAAAATGTTTATTGTTGTGTACATGTACTCTTCATTTTGGTAGCCTGTTTTGTTCAAGTTTTATGTCTACTATTTTTTTTTATCGAGTAACTACCTGAAACAGATAGAAATTCGCATCAAAGAGCAAATCGGATTATGAAATATTGCAGATACTACAAGTGCACTAGTCTTGAACAAAAATATTCCTATTAAACCAAACCCATCTACAGATTGTAAATATGTGTAAAATTAAAATTATAAAATAACTAATAAGCATGTAAAAAGCCTTTTACTTCTAATTAGAATATTTTTTTTTAAAAAAAATGATACGTACACTTCAAATTTGATTTCATAAGTAAATTAATGTATCGCAGAATCCTGTGTATTTACGATGATCTTGAGGAAATCAGTGTACATGTACATAAATTACTTAAATTTTAAAACTGTAACCTTCCATCATTTGGCTAGTTTTCATTGTATTTTGATATAGCAGATGTGTATAGAAAAATATTCAAACCACAAAAGAAACGCATTTTGATGTTTGTCCAAATCTTTAAGAAATAAGTAAGAACTTAAAAAAGTTCTCTGGGAAATTTCGTTATTATTACTTAAATTTACATTTTAGGCGAATATTCGAATCGAAACATCACACGAATGGTCGGCCATATCACTATACTGTGACTCGCAGTAACGTAGAAGTTATTTAAGAAATAAATATCAAGTTTAAAAACTTCACTGGGAAATGAAGTGGGTCGGTTTTTAAACTTGTTATTTATTATTTATATATACATTTGAGACGGACAATTGAATATAATCGAATATAAACATTCCACTAACTGTTCGTCGTAGATTTCGACAAATTACGCAAGGTGTAAATCGGCTTGAAAAGCGGTTAAGCTTCAAATTCATCTGGCAAAGGATTCTGTTTTGAAGAGTATATTCTGTGAAAGGCTACTTATGATCAATTATTGTAAGCATATTGGTATCTGGGAATTTTTGAATTCATGAGAACCCATATTAGATGTTTAAAAAAAAACAACAGAAGAAACACGTCCGATGTTTGATAATAAAAAGCTGGAGGAATTTCGGTCGGAAAGTATAAAATTAGATCAGAAACATAAAATCTACGATTTCAGTAAGGCATATTTATTATGAAGTTGACACGGAGACACTTGCGACAGCTTACATTGTTAAGACAACGCTCTCGATAATGGACGTGTGCTTACCGAACTTCCGAAATGTTTGTCAGCAGTTTGTGGCGTGGTTGCATTACATTGATATTTTCCAACAGATTTTCAAATTTATTGTGAGTAAAGTTTAATGCATATGAAAAAAAAAACCCATAGAATTCAGAGGTCTACAAGAAAAATAAGGGTAAACGTTGAGACTATGGAGCTCATACATGAAAATTTTTACATGTAGTTTTCTATTCACTATGTAAAATCGATCAAGAACCGTACATGTATTATATACTCGTTTACATTGTAATGTTCTTGAACTTCTAAGAATAGGGGAGGCAAGTGTACTTCAGTTTTGAGAGCTTCAACAAAAGGAATTGCCATATACATTGTATATGTAGCTTTTATTTAAATGAGGTAAAAGGAATACGTCTTTATAAATAGAGCTTGGACCTATAGGGCCGGGATTGGTTTCAGTCTTTACAAAAACATTGTCGATTTCGTAACGGTCAATGACTTTAGGCTACATAAATGTAATAATTCGTTTTTATTTTATTTCAGTATGATATTTATTATGAAGCATGATTATATTGTCAACACATTGGGAGTTTGTTATCTCAAAATGTTATTTGAAAGTGTGGCACCAGATGGATTCGAACCACGACTCTAAAAAGTATCTTCGGTGTATATATTCAGCTGTTTTACCAATCTAGCTATTATGGCTTTGAAAATAGATAGTACATATGTATAAATGCGAACTAAAAACAGGTTTCCTTATATTTTCGTAGGTTTTTTTGTGAATTTCGATCCTTGGGCAGGGGTACCCCTAAAGAATTCCTATAATTGCAAATTTGAACAATTTAGACATATATACGATAGAAAACAACTAATGAACATTTATTTTTAGTGACTTTTTCCAGGAAATTGTTCTATCCTATAGATCAATTCTTTTCAAATACTGAATACATTCTTTGCCGTGGTCCATACTTACAAACAAACAGCCAAACCACTTCTACATGTGTAACACTTCAAAATACAGAACTGTCCTCTCCCAAAGTAAGAATCTTTGTTAATAGGAAGTATTTCTCTCTTTTTACATACTGAATACTCGATGTGCTATAAAAAAAAAAGTACTGCAAGAACGTGTTGCCATCTACTCGACAATTCTAATAAATTTAAACTTATTAACTAATCGATGGTCTGATTTTACAGCATTTTCTACCATTTTTCCACACTTAGATCATGAAAATGTTATATGTTTTTTTAAACCTCTTTTATCTGTATTTTTGTACGTTTTACCACTTTCATCGCAGAATAGCACAACTAGTTTTGAGAAATATGTAAGCAAATTTATTGATTTCAATATTTCCATGCAAATCAAGGTGAAAATTTCAATGAAAATACGTTCAAGTCATGAATAATGCAAAAATTTTAAGATCTCTTTACGGACGCACTTAAATAGGTACCTAGCTAACTTTAGATAGCGACGTCTATGGAAAATTCAAATAACCGAAAAACTGCAAAACAATTATATTTATCTATGTATGTTAACGATAATATTTTATTGTACTTGGAAGGATTACCGTTTCTCGTAGGATGGATCAACTAAGATGTTATAAAGTTTGGTTCTTTTTCTTTCCTAGAGGTTATGCTGATATTATTGATGACATTCAAGATGAAGCACAAAGCAACAATAACAATATAGCGCTACTAAAGTACAACATACATGTATTTACATGTAGCATAGTACGCACGCATAGCACGCACGCACACTTTACCACAGAAAACGATCATAATTTAAAAACATTAAATATTCAATTAAAGGCCTTGCTTATTGATAGATCTTAGCGGTTTATGAAGCTTAAACTGCCCCAACCCAGGTTATACAGCATAACTTGGGTAACTATTAAATTAATTCCTTTAATAGACTGGTCTTAAAACTGGTCAACGTTTAAGTATCCTCTAAATTGAATTAGTGCATTGAAAGTTTTGATCTGCCAAAATTTTAAAATTATCCACATATCTTTATAATTATGATTGTTTGTTTGACTGTCATACAAATATAAAACATCTTAATCAATCTATATTAATTTTTGACCCCCTCCCCCCACATGCACACGAAGTGCTAGATCATGTATGAAATCAATGTAGCTTAGATGTTTGCGGTGAAGCTTCATTTAGAATCCGTCCAGTCATGAGCAATATTACAAAAAGAATAGGCAAAGTCTTCAAACCAAATGGGGCGACAAATGGTCTTTTTCTTTTTCTTTTTCTTTTTTAATATATTTTAACAAACACTTTTGCACAAAAAATTATGATATTGAATTTAATAAATACTTAAATGTACTAAAAGTCCAAAGTAAAAATACGAAAGACTACTTTCTGCAAATCTAGAGGAAGGGGGAAGCTTGCCCCCTTTTATTTTCAGAGCAATTAAATCTTCATCGTGAAGTAATCGAAAAAAAAAAACAAAACAAACAAACAAAGAAAAGACTTACCAGTAAGTTTTTCCCTCCGCCTTTATCGTTTTTTTTTTTTTTTTTTTTTTTTTTTTTTTTTTTTTAGAAAATATAAACATATGCCAGGATACCTGTCATTTATAAAATTTATGTCTCAACAAAATTCTGAGTTGATTACTTGTTTTAAGTGGGTATAGACTCCCTTGGATTATATTCGGAAATCCTTGATCCGACTTCGAGTACATTTATAGTTCATGTAGTGTCAGTATATTACATACATGTACCTATTCACTTACATGTATCAACCGCTTCCAAATTGAAATATACAAAATATAGTTTTAAAATATACATATTGGTTCATTTATGTATGCATTGCATACACTAGAAATAAAATTTATGAAAAACTCTAAACAAAATAATGCATTCTATCAATACTATCTAGAAAGGGATGACATGGTCTATTGGTATTCTTCCACAAGCTGCATGTATATATGCACAGGCAAGATGGCGATCGATTTGATGTGACAGCACCCCTCTGGATGTATAGTTAACCACCTCTGCGTCACCTCTATATATGAGAACTAATGCATTTAGGTGATTGAAAGATGGAGCAGTCCTCTTCGTTCCTCGCGCTCGGAGAGGCGTGGGGGGGGGGGGGGGGTTGAACAATTTTCGATCAACTGCGACATTTTGTTCATTCCCCTTTCTCATCAACATGAACCTTTTTCTGTTAAAATTATATATATATATAAAACAAACAAAACAATTAAATCAAAAAATGTATTTATTTGTTTTAAATTGTATATTTTAAAATCTTTATAGTAGGGGTAACGGCGCAGTCCCGTAATCAGATATTGCAAAATTTGTTTCCACTACTCACTACATATATGTATAACACTCGGTAGATCCTGAATAATGTCAGATAAATTAATTTTAATATATATGTCATTTTTCGATTTTATTCTGGCTTTATTTTGTGCAAGTTTGAAGTAGATATAAATACGTGTTTGATGTATAAATTTTATCAAATTCATCATGCCACAGAAATCTTATTATCATGGCAAACTTTATTCTGTCGGCATGAATAGCCAAAACGGTTGAAATACTTTCTATTTTTCTCGATAAATACAAGTACCATTAATGCTTTATTAAAATAGAAACCTTCCAAGTCCAAAGAAAAAATATGTATAACTTTTTTTAAAAAAACTGAAATACTTCCTATTTTT